TGACTTCTCAATATAAACAGCAGTTGTGACTCACTTAAAAATCACAGCTGGCTTTGGAGTTGGGCTGTGGCTCCTCCTTCTCTAAATCCAAGCCACCTGCTGTGGAACAGAAGGAAAATAAAAACCTAGGGACTAAGGTTATCAAAACTCTGCTTTCAATATTTCTACTTCTCCCATACCTATTTTTGTATTTATTGGTACCTCTCTTTGAATATATGTCTATTGAAATTAAAATGTTCCATTTTCATATGAATAATGTTTAATTTTCGACAGTGAATAATAAGTTTTCTTACAATAATCTCTGAAGTCCCCAGGAAGAAGATGGGGTCCCACAGCAACAATTTTGTCTGGTTCATATGATGCTATTCAGCCGATAGCACCACTTAAAAATCTGCTTTGAACTATAAACTGCTCAGAATAATTTTGAGGTGACTAGCTGAAATTATCCAGTCTCACAGACTACTATAGCCAGGACTTGAGAGAAGTCCTCCACTTTCCAATTATGCAGAGACTGAACAACAAATGATACAACAAACTCTCCCAGGACTTGACAATTAACCCAAATTTTTCTATTCAGGAATCACTAAGTATACCATCACCTCTAAACATCGGGAAACAAATTTAAGAATACAACACCCACATTCCCAAGAGTTTGGGTGGGGAGGTTTTAGTTGTACAATGGATTATGAATATTTGTCATTGGTTATTATTATTATTATTATTATTATTGTTATTGAACTCTACATTTTTCCCCTCCCTGCCTCTCCCTTCCCCTTCAACTCTCTCCCAAGGTTCTCATGTTCCAACTTACTCAGGAGACCTTGTTTTTTTCTACTTTCCATGTAGATTAGATCTATGTATGTCTCTCTTAGGGTCCTAATTGTTGTCTAGGTTCTCTGGAATTGTGGTTTGTGGGCTGGTTTTCTTTGGTTTATGTTTAAAAACCACTTATGAGTGAGTACATGTGATAATTGTCTTTCTGTGTCTGGGTTACCTTACTCAAAATGATGTTTTCTAGCTCCATCCCTTTGCAAGCAAAATTCATGATGTCATTATTTTTTTCTGCTTTGTAGTTCTCTATTGTTTAAATGTACCATATTTTTCTTATCCATTCTTTAGTTGAGTGGCATTTAGGCTGTTTCCAGATTCTGGCTATGACAAACAATGCTGTTATGAACATAGTTGAGCACATATCCTGTGGCACAATTGAGCATTCTTTGGATATATACCCAAATTGATTAGGGATTTTGGTTGTAAGTAATTATTGGTAATGATCAGGAAAAAAAAGATAAACAATGGAAATTAGGTTCAAGGTTCTTGTTTTGAAAAGTAAAAAGAGGGCTATAGATAGGATAGGAAAAAGGAAGGACATAGATATGTTAAGATAAAAAGGTAGATTATTGAGTCTACTTTTAGAAAGCAACTACTTTAAAATAATGTTTTACATTTGATTGGACTTTTGTATATTGGTAAAAATTTTGTATATTGATACAAATTTGGATTAATTTTGTTGAAACATACTGTACATATGTTTCTAATCTTGTTCAAGATATTGTACCTACACAGTTCATTTCTCAATGTAATGCAAATTTCTAGTGTTTGATAGTTATTATTACCAACTGTTTGGGATAATAAATAAATACATATTAGTAATTAGTCACCTATTATAATCGAACTTGTAGTCACATTATGTGTGTTTTTGAGGTCAAACAAAGATATATTTTAGATAGACACACCATCTTCAAACATTTCAGAGATCTACAGAATATGGCATTTAAGATGTTTTAATAACATAGGCTTTTTATGACAATGAGTCATGTCTGCTCTTAGCAGCACCATTCCACTTCAGAGAAGAGAATGGGCATCAAAGAAACTCTTCATGGAGTTTACTTTCTTTGCGGCAAAAGTCAGCCACTGAACAAGAAAATGCCCTTGTCTCAACTGCTGACACTATGCTGTCCTAATTTGACAAACAGGACACAAAAGAAAGTGACTGACAAACATTGTCAAGACAAGGGGAGACAGCCCTTACACAAAAGACTATCATATATGCTAGGCCTGTAGGCAGAATATAGATGCACCAACATTGCAGAGGAGTTTTGGGTGACTATCCAGGCAGCCAGTTGTTTCTGTCATTTCTCACATTTTTTGGAAGTTGCTTGATTGCACTTCCTGTTTACTCAGTTAATATTCTTTCCTTCTTGGGACTGAGGTAAAGTTAGGTATTAAGATGGGAGCATCTTCCCAGACCCTGGCATCCATCCCAGCACACACACCCACATGGGCCTAGGAATTGCATTTGTCTGGACTCCGCCTGGCCTGGGAGTTGCATTGATCTGGACTCCAAATCCCAGAATTCAAGGGTATTTAAGTGGGCTCCCAGAGGAAGAACATGTGGTCCTGGGTTTGGCATGTGTCCTTCCCCTCAGTTATCTGTCTCCCCTGCCGTGCTCTTGGCTACCCGAGAGTGCTGCATTTAATAAATCATGGCCATTTTAATTCGGTTTGTTATGACCTAATTGGATTTCTTTGCACCAGCTTTAGGATTTTTTCTTTACAGTAAGAGCCAGTGGCTGGCTGCTTTGCTTTTTCGACTTTCAGGTTGAATCCCATTATCTGTCTTTGTGGTTTTAATAATTGTGCTACATAAATGTAAATAACCGGTAATTTGGAAGAAAATGACCAGTATAGGGAGTGGCACAATAAGGAGGTATGGTTCATTTTGGACGAAGTGTGTCACTGTGGAGGTGGGTTTTGAGGTCTCTTATGCTCAAGCTATGTCCATGTGAACACAGACTCCTACTGCCTGCAGATCAAGTTGTAGAACTCTCAACTCCTTCTCCATGCCACCATCTCCCACCATGATGATAATGAGCTGAACCTCTGACAATTTTAAGGGAGCCCCAGTTAAATGATCATGCATATAAGAGTTGCCATGGTCATATTGTCTCTTTACAGCAGCAGAAACCCTAAGATATTATATAAACTAATTAAGATAATAAATCACATAAATGGGTCTAAAGAAAAATTACATGATTATCTCAGTAGATGCAGAAAAAGTGATTTCAAGGGGCAGAGGAAGATTAACCTCTGTGACTTCAAGGTGTGTAGCAAATGCCTTTAATTCCAATGCCTGGGAGGCCGAGACAGACAGATTTCTGTGAGTTCAAGGACAGCTTGGTCTATAGAGTTATTCTAGGACAAAGATATACAAAGAACCTGTCTTAAAAAGTAAAAGTAAAAATAAAAGAAATAGAGGTTAAAATAAAGATGGAAAATATACAGAGAATCTTGATACTGTATGCTATTATGCTCTCTTTGAATTGTTTGAATGCTGAGGAAGGAGCAACAGCTGCTGAAAGATATTTGCTTATAAATACTGATGAATTAATCCAAGATAAATATTTTGAAAATACCTTGGCTTCAGAATTGAAGTCAAAAGGTATGCTACTTTGGAGAAGAGATTGTGCTTTTGTTTCCACAGGAAATGAGAGGCTGTGGATTCACTCTGAGCTAAGAAAAATCAGATTTGATCAAGGAAGACTACCCGAGAAATCTCCGGTAGGAACAGATGGCCCAGATGTCAGAGTTCTACATCCAGAACAGATTCAAGACTGTTGCCTGAGATGATCAAAACTCACAGGATACTCCAGTCAGGACTTGATTATAACTCTAAATTTTCTTTAGGTCCCCATAAGATTATCAGCACCCTCAACCAACAGGAAGTAGGCTGAAATTCCACGCCCACATTCCCAACAGATGGACTATGGGTATTTTCCTTTGTTTAAAAAAAGAGAGGCAATGGTCCAGGAGAATTGTCTGCAATCTGTCAATCATATTTTAAATAAATGCAGATTGGCCAGGCAGGAAGTATAGTCGGGAAAACCAGACAGAAAGTAGAGGTGATGCAATGAGAACAGGAGAATTCTGGGAAGCAGGAAGCTCCCTCCATCAACTACCTATGTGGTCTTTAAGTTCCTTCCACAGCTCCAAATTTAGTTTATCTTCATTTCTGCACACAGACTGATCATGTTCCCATTTAACAAGATTTTTTTTCTTTCCACAGAGGCTGGTGGCCTAACACAGTGGCATTCATGAGATGCCTGGCTAAGAGACTCCATGTTGAGATCTGCCCTAGAGCCTGAAATAAGGAAGAATGGGCCCTGGGAAGGAGACAGCTGTGTGGCTGTCAGAAAGTCAGATATGGGAGCCAGGGGAACAAACCTGGGGTACTTACTCCCTACCCCATAGCCTTCTTCACTGTCACATGGGAAGAATGATGCTCTCAGAGTTCCTGATGAGGAAAGATCCTTCTCTGGGACCATGAAGTTTACACATCTGTCCTGGTTCTATATTCTTCCTCTGTGTGAGTCCCTAGTCTTCTCTGTGAGCCTCAGCTCCCTCATTGGGCCGCTGAGATTCTGTCCCACAGGGTTATAAACTATAATAATAACAACAGCTGCAATTGTATTGACTTGTACTTATAATACCTGAACATTAACTGAATACTGTACTGTTAGTAACATGGATTATCACTTTACTCCCACAGCCCAAGGAAACAGGTTTTTACCTCCCTCCTGTTTCCTAAATGGAGACATGGAGGCTGAGGGCTGTAAAGTGACGTGTCTTGGGTGCTAGAGCCATGACTGGAGTCTGCCTCTGCCAAGCTTCAGCCTGCGCTTGTAACTTAAGTGTCGCCAAGCTTTCCTTTTGGGGACAGACTTAAACCCTTTCAGAGTCATCCTGAATGCCAGCCTCTCCCCAATCATGAAGTTTCAGAGTGCTTCTTCCCAGGGGCCTGAGAATGCACTCCTGTAGCTGAGGGTGTGGGGCTCCAAGGTTCACTTAGTTCTTTCTGCATACCTTTTGGTTCCAGGCTGTCCTGGGCCTGTGAATCCTTCTGACAGGTGGTTAGTCTGCCCATGAAAACCCTGGCAGGGGGGCTTTGTGGTGATGAAGGGGTCACAGTGGCAGTGGGTTGGGGTCCTTATTGTACTTACCTTTTGTCAAGTCCTTCTTTGCTGGGGCTTTGGTTTGCTGAGGCTCCGGATGCATCTGCTCCCCGCACTTCTGGGTGGAATCCATGACCTGTTGGCCCTTTTGCTGAGCCTCCTCTGTGCCACTCGCCTTATTCGACTGAACTTCTTCCATGGTGATGATGCTTGGCTGTGCAGCTCTTGCTGACAGAGCTTTGCTTGTCTCTTTTGTTGTTGCTCAAAACAGGAGGCCAGTGGATCCTGGTCTCTGACGACTGTTTCTGCTCTGGGAAAGGGCGTTTGATCAGAACCCATGGAGAAGATCGGGAAATAAAAGAAAGAGCAGAGAAACCATTAACAGGGAGATGGTCCTCTGATCAGAACAACTGAAGGACTCCAGTCTCTCCTGGGGATGGAGACTGTGTGCCAAGGTGCAGGCGTTTGGACATTATAGAGGAGAAGAGGGGGCTCTGGAAGGAATGTTTATCGGTGGATGTGTTATTTATGGTTTCTTGAATGGTGTTGGGAGATGTGTTTGGTACTATACTGGCTTTCCAGTCAGGGAAGTTTTGTTCGAGTCGGCGTTTCCCAGCTTGTCTAAGGTTTCTTCTCTTAGGTCATTAAGGTCATTTATCTAACACTGAGGAGCCATTAAAAGAAGGGTGTATATTTTCTCATTGCCTGCTTCTGGCAAGAGGAGAAGGCAGAGGTGGAGCTAGGTTCTATTCCTAGGGTTTAAAAGGGCATAGGTTTGGGTGACTTCATGAACCAAGAAAACAGTTTTAACTTAATCTGCTGCAGTGGATTCTGTGATTGCTGTCATTCATTCCCAGAGGAACCTTTAAAAACCATTAATAGATGGGGCTATAGTGAGTAAGATGAGACTCAAGAAAGGGGATCCAGTAAGCTCCTAGTCAGGGTAGCCATTGTCCTAACGTGGACCTAGTGATGGCAGCGACTTGATCCAGGAGAAACTTGTGTGAAACTTTTAAAGGACAGGGAAAATGGAGGAGGAGGAGGAGGAGGAGGAATGGAGAGATCAAGGGATGGAGCAAGAGTGGGAGGGAACAAAAGCCCACCCTTAGGAAGATGACAGTCACTGAATCTTTGTCTTGTCTTTAATTAAGTTTGTGGGCCCTCTCGACCAGCTTGGATTTGTTGGTGCAGAAGCAGCCCTGTTTCTGGAGGAGGGCGCAGCTCACACCACCAGCAGCAGACAGAAGATCTAGGTTTCTAACTTTGAAGAACCACAACAGCGAAGACTTGGCCCAGGCTAGCCATGGAAAATGATGGATATAGCTTTCTTTTGACATTAGCCACTTTCCCCCAGGAAACAGTTTTTATGTTATTGTACTTTTAAACAAACTGCATGGCATAAGTTATCATCTTAGTCAAGCCCTGCTGGTCCCATGGACTGCTTTTGTCTTCTTTATTTCTCATCCTCAGGCTTCCCACTTAGAACCTCCCCACTCAGGACCCTTATTCCTGCAGGTTTACAACAGACAGGAGAGAGGAGGGTGCAGGATAGGCTATGACAGGAGTAGACACATGAAGTACAGGGAAACCCAGCGACCTCCAGCCCACCAGAGCTGGCCTGCAGATTCTCCAAGCAGGGGTGGAGCCTGGGCCCTGGCTCTCAGGAAAAGATCCCCCATGTCTGCCACAGTATGCCTTGACACATTTATCTTCCCATAACTCAAATAGTTCGGTGGACTCTGTTGGTCCCACTACTCACCCTGCTCTTTTAGGGGGCTCTCTGAAGCGTGCTTCCCTGGCCAAGGCTTCTAAGCTAGTAAAAGTATTTTTGAAAGTGAAAGAGACACAGCTCCTCCAGGAAGCCAGGCAGGCATCAGAGTCTGCGCAGATGGCAGATGTTCTTCCTCTGGACCCTGTGAGTGGAGATTGGGCAATGTTCAGCTGGTTTCCTGTTGTGAATTCTCTGCAGAAGCCTGGGCTGGAGGAGGAGTCAGGCTTGAGAGCTTCAGCCAGGCCTGCAGAGGCCCTGCCTGCTGAGTGCAGGACTCAGGTCTGAGCCTCACTACTTCTTTCAGCCAGTAAAGCAGGGTATCCCAGGTTTGCCAACAGGTTCCAGTTCAGCAGAATCTCCTGGATCTTCCAGGTTTGTCCTCTGGATCTCTGGACTCTCTCTCCTCCCTGTAGCCGGTCCAGCCCACAGCCTAATCATTTCAGGAAATGATTCTTAGGCACAAACTTTATGTATTTTTTTTGACTCCTGAAGTCTTGTGTTGATGTCTTTGGTGCATTTGGAGCTGAGTGCACTACAGGGTGAGAGCAGAGGAAGGTTCTTTACCTGCAGACATCTGGCTTATCAGCACCACTTGTCAGCAAGACTTTCTCTTTGCCAGTGAATAAATACTTTGGTCACCAATGAGAGGTTTTGCTAGTCAGTTTACTTTAAAACAACAACAAAAATTCCCTTATTTTTATCATCTGAAACTTTTCCCATTCAAAACATTGTTATTCAATAGATTGTTTTAAGCTAGGGCATATGTGGTAAGTTATTTAAGACACACATTAAAATAATTTCAAGTGGTGTTATTATCGGATGAAAACCCTGCCAGAACACATGATTACCTTAAAACATCACTGCTGGATTTCTAAATCTTAGTCTGTTTTGATAAGGTGTGATTTCAGAAGTTTGAAAACTGCACCCTTGCTACATGTTCTTTGTAGAATCATTTCTTATTTCTCTTGCACTGTTTATAACTTAAGGAAAGAAAATAAACAGCAAGTAAATTAAATTTCTTGAGTTTAAATAATCTGAAAATATGTTTGAAATAGCACTTTATTGTATATATTTTCACACTTAGTTTGAATCTGCATCTAGTGTATAGTCTCATTTGCATATACTGAAATATTTGTTGACCAACTGTGGTGTGACTTTTCTGGGGAGATGTAAAATTAACATCTGTCCCTAACTTCTGACCTTTCCACTGCCCAAAGATTGCCTTATTAAGTTCATCTCAATGAATAGAAATGAATTTATTAGGGATTACTCATAGAGCAGTGGGAGACCACAGGCATTTGCATGGATCCCCTCCCCTGAAGTCATCACACCCTCTCTTACACAGCTCCTTTTAAACTTGGGCTCTGTCTGCCACTTAAGTGATGGAATCTTTGATTCCTAGTGCAATTGAATGTGTAAGCGGCAGAGGAGACCCCAGGCTAAATATATGTTCATGTCTGGTCTGCCCATGCCCTTGTCAGGGGCTCTGCTGTAGGGCAAGCACTGTCCGTATTGGAAACGTTCACTTGTTTCACTGAAGTCATGAATGTTGGGAGCCTCAGTCAGTCTTGCTGCAAGATGGAGGTGATGAGGATTCAGAGATCTGTGTCATTCACCAGCTGTATGCAGGCCAAGCGTGGATGCCATAACTGGAAGGAACCACTGCACACGTGTTAAAGTAAAACATACTTCCTGCATGGCCATGGCTTGTAATGCAACCAGGAGCCTGTGGCAGTTTTTGCCACTAGAGCTATGGACAAGCGTATAGGATCAAGAGCTCACACTGTGATAAAGAAATCGTGGGTGGAGTTCTAGGATTTGATGATCTTGTTAATATGGTGTCACAGTTTAAAATTACACCAGAAGAAGAAGGATATAAATTACATCTAGTCATATCAGGTCTAACAGTTCCTTTTCTGGATCGGACCTCCTTGAAGACCTTCCTGTCTGTACTTTTTCCAGAGGCCATGGTATTGGTGGTCAGTGTTGCTGCCCCAGGCCATGATGAAACCTGAGGTCAACGCAGATGTCTGTGGTCTATGCTGCCACTTGAAGCCATTTTGATGTCTGTGGTCCATGCTGTGGATGCAGGCCATGTTTGGGTCATAGATCCTACAGCAGCCAGGGGTTGTTTTGACGTCTGAGGTCTGTGTTACTGCTGAGGACCATGTGGATGTGTGTTGTCTGTGCCACTGTCAGAAGCCATGTTGATATCCATGAGCCCTGGGCCTGCTGAGGGCCATGTTGACGTGGGTGACCTTTGAGTCTCATGGGTACATGTGGATGTTTGTGGTCTGTGCTGTTACCAGAGGCCATGTTGATGTCCATGGGCCTGGCTGTCACTGTGGTCCATATTGGTGTTCATGGCCCATGTTACCCGAGGTCATGTTGACAATTTAGGCCTGTGCTGCTGATAAAGACTGTGATGGCATCTGTGCTCTGTGCTTCAGCAGAGGGCCGCCCTGTTGTCTGCACTCCCACAGGAGATCAGAAGGAAGTTCTTGGAAAGCACTGAGTCTGTAGATCAGGTGAATGTTCGTAGTCAGTGCTATTGCCAGAAAACAAGTAGAAGCCCATGATTCATGATCCCACTGACTGTAAAGGGCAAGAAAGCTACTTTTACAGTGATACTGATTACTGCAGATTCACGGTTTTGAAGCAGGGACACAGAGGTTTCTGTGACAACCCCTACCACCACTCTGCCTCCCCCAAAAAGTAACAGCAAAGAAAAAAAATAGTAAAGTGTAGCTCTTCAAAATTGATGACATCTGGTGGGGGTGCAGGTGGAGAAGGTCCCAGTGTCCTTTAAGGGGATGACCACTGTGAGTTTGACCATGCTCCAGTGAGTCCACGGGCAACAGAAAATGGACTCATATTTTTTCCTTTCCTTATTTTTCTGCGTTCATCCATTCCTTCCTCCCCTTTCTTTCTTCTTCTTCTTTTTTGTTGGGAGGGGTTTGAAGGGTGGGGAGATATTCATGCAGGGACTAGGAAGTCAGTGTGATTGGGTTGCATTATGGAAATTCCCAAATAAGCAATACAAATATTATGCTGGAAAAATAAAAAAGAAACACATTTGAGGAGTCAAGAGCCAAAGATTGTGGTTTTTAATTTTGCAATGTTTCCCTGGAGGACACAAAATGTTAAATAAAAAATTTTATAATGTAAGAAAGTACAGGCAAGAGAATGCAGCCAGCCGTCCACCCCACAAGGAAGAAGCAGGTGCCCTTGACTCTCTGTTGTCACTATTGGGATTGGTTCACACTGCCAAAGACATTTTATTGACAGGGAAGCCACAGCTGGACAAATGACACAAAAAATTTTTTCACTAATGTATTTTTACAGTAAAAAAAGGGCTGTGAATGTACCAGTATGTGATTGAAGCAACCAAACACTTGACCACTGTCCAGGTGACATATCCTTTGGAGGAGCCAAGTTGAGGACCTCAGGTATGGGGACTGTGTCAATGTGGATTTGCTGCTGGACACAGAGTCTGTCTTGTCATAACTTGTTTCTCAGAACATCCTAAGTTCAATAACATAAGGCCTGGGTTACCTAGAGCACTCAGTGTCCTTGCATTCCAGTAAGCAGCCAGAAGAAAGGAATGTGAACTTCTTTTTTATATACCAATAATTCATGAAATGGAATTCAGTATACCTAAATATATTTCAGTGTTATGGATGTTTTAAGAAACTCAGACTTAAATTTATATTTACAAATTGGTATTGATATTGTTGTTGGTTGGTTTTACTCTTTGTTCTTATGGTTCTTTAGGAGGTCCACTAGCTAGCTTCCAAATATATCACATGGAAGCTTCTTCTTCTTTTTTTTGTTTGTTTGTTTTTTGAGACAGGGTTTCTCTGTATCTTTTGGAGGAAGCTTATTCTTACATCTATGCCCTTCCCTAGCTTGCTTTGTTTCTAACCAGCTTTTCTTAACTAAGTTATTCCGTCTACCTTCTGCCTCTGGGTTTTTACCTTTTTCTATTTCTGTATATCTTCCTTTACTTCTTACTCTATGACTTGCTATGTAGCTGGGTGGCTGGCCCCTGGAATCCTCCTTTCCTTCTTTTTCCCCCTAGATCTTCGATCCTTTCTTCCCATATTTCTCCTCCTATTTATCCTTTCTGCCTGCCAGCCATGCCTATCCTTTCTCCTGCCTTGCTGTTGGCCGTTCAGCTCTTTATTAGACAAATCAGGTGTTTTAGACAGGCAAAGTAGCACAGCTTCACATAGTCAAACAAATGTAACCTAAAAGAATGCAGCACATCTTTGAGTCATTAAAACAAATGTTTCATAGTATAAATAAATGTAGCACAACTTCAACTAATATTCTACAGCATGATATTTTAGCATTTTCTCTTATTTACAAAGAAATCCAAGGTTTTATATCTGTTGTATACATTTAAGAGCCTTGAGTTCCCTTGTAATACCCAACTGTTTAGTTTTATTTCCAAATTCCCAATGAAGTCAATATAGCAGGAAGGAAGGTCAAAACATGGAATTATCTCTTGTCAAATAAAACCCTAGAGGATTCTGTGTAAGAAGTCTTGGGAGAAACTGTCTGCCTGTGACAACATGAAGGGTAGGCATGACAATAAGGAAAATACTGTGTCCTGAGAGATAAAGAGAGGGAGAACTTCAGAGATTCACACAGGCTGAGTTAGCACACCTGCGGAGTCCAGAGTAGAAGATGGGAGGCACTGTGAAGCCAGGATAACAGCTTTGGTTATGAGTCTGGGAAGTAGGGGCCCAGAAACTTGAATCTGAGGGTATCTAGACAGCCTGGGCAAAGAAATTGGTAGGCCTACCCTTGCAGCAGACACACCGTCATGAACGTTAAGTACTACTTTGGTAGATGGGTGAGCAATAAAGAGAAATCCCATTTGTCATTCTTTTATATGTTTGTCTTTGTGCGTAAATTGTGTACATTTGTGTGTGTGTGTGTGTGTGTGTGGGTGTGTGTGTGTGGGTGTGTGTCTTTGAATGTGTATTTGTCTGATTATGGTGCTGGGAGTAGAATTCTGAGCCTATGCAATAGCAGCAAGGCTCTTACTCACAGTCTCATGTCTGCTCTTCATTTTAAAATTGTACCATAAGTTCCCTTTTTCCTTCCTTCCTTCCTTCCTTCCTTCCTTCCTTCCTTCCTTCCTTCCTTCCTTCCTTCCTT